CCTTCTCACCCAACAGAAAACGCTTTCTCTGTCTAGTGGCGCAGAGATGCTGTGGTAGCATGTGCCCACACGGGAGGAGACAACGCCGAGGAGCCGCTGTCTGTAGACCAGAAGCTGTTACCAGCCAGCAGAGATAGTGCTATAAATGGAGGAACACTTTCCAGTGGGGCTTGCAAGGACATATACTGCACCAGGGCCACAGAGACAGGGCTTCCACCACAAGCCTCTCAAAGACCGTCGAGTGGGTCACCTTGCTTCCCCCTGCCTGGTCTCCCTACCAAGAGTTTTAAGGACAGTGCTCACTGAGGTAAACCTGAAGCAAAACTGAGCAACAGTGGGACAAAGGGGCAAGCAAGAAAGACTCACAGCAAAGGCAGGATAAATAGCCAGTCTCTGCGTGAGTCCGTGGGTAGCGGAAGCTGTGCATGGTGGAGGGAACTAAAGTCAAATGCATCTGAGAAATACATGGAAAATTTGTGCATATTTCTCAGTGGTACAAGTGGCCTGAGTTAAAGAGAGGGGCTGGACTGCACAGGGTACTATAACTGGATCCAGAAAGGCAGAATCTAAGAAATATCAGGCTTGTTAAACGATCTGAGAAAGCTATGACTTTCCTTATATACTCATCAAGCAAACGTATGCCTCCAGGTCTATCTGCTCACTTGTACAGCATCAGAAGGGGTCACAACACAAGTGCTGCCTTTGAAAATCAGCTTGCATCCCCCTGATCGGGTACAGCTGGGAGGCCAGACTGGTTGCCAGCTGCTCCCAGACTGGGCTGCAAAAGCTCTGCAAGACTCCCTTAGGCCTGGTGCTTGCTTCTGCCAGCAGCAGAAGTAACAAACGCCGGTTTTCCCTGAATGTGTGTGCTCTGTTCATAACACCCCAGAACTCTCATAAACCCTGGTCCCTTCCCAGCAATGGCCCTTCAAATCTTCCCCATCCAAACAATCTTTCTCAACCTTTACTTCCTCCCAAGTCCTCCAACCACAAGCCAGGTAATACAGTCCTGCATATCGCAAAGTTTCATGTGTGCTGGCTGGCTGGCCTGTACATACATACTAGTTAGCCAGCTGACAGCAAAAAGAAAACAACAAATTTTTTGAGATTACATCCGTCTTTTTGCAGAAACAGGTTTGATCCCCCTGACTTTATCTCAGTACCGATGTTTCACTTCAGCCTTACCTCCTTAAAAGCTTAAATGAAACCAGACAACAGATTCAGAAGCTATTAATTAACAGTAAGAACTGGCAATTCAATGGTATAAATCTGATTTCCACACAGGTCAGATCCTCACCCTAGTCTAAGTGGCATGGCTTCAGTGGTGTAACATTGATTTCCAAAAGGAGAGGACCTCATCAAGGGCTCTCTGTTTACTCACTGACATACTTCCAACTCCCCAAGTCAAGTGTAAAATCCTCAACACTGCTGTGATTCCCCAAGACAACATTAGCCATCCCAGGGACCTTCTTGTGTCTGATGCAGATGAATGGTCACAACTGAAGCGGGTGATGTAGAGAAGATCAATTCTCTGACCCTACAGCTTTAGGGAGTGAGTAAGGCCTGCGGTTTCACCGCACCAGGACAGTTGCTGCCCATACCAGCAGAGCCCAGAATCTGGCTTGCCCCACACTGTTCTCAATTGCCCCCCTCATCAAAGCTGAGAACTCAGCTGGCAGTGGGTGACCTGCAGACTGAGGGAAGGCCCCTGTAGCCAGAGGTGAGAAGCCTATGAAAAAAAGCTAGCAGCATCACAAAACACAGCTTTTATTTCACTGTTCTGTAATCTCTCAGTGCATCAAACCGCAGCAATAGAAACAACACAGCAGCAACAAGGAGGCACTTTGACCTGGAAAGGAGAGAATGAGACACGTCCTCTCCCTCCCTTCTCTGATTCTCCTCCCTCCTAAGTCTCATGGTAGAGCAGGCTGATTCGTGTAAGTCACTGAACCACAGGCCCACGATGGCATTATCACTCCAGCAGCAAGCAGAGGAAACAGGGGCTGGCTGTAGTCAAATGTTGGAAAGAAGCCTTGCTCCCAGCTAGGGCCCAAAAATTACGCTCCCTGATTAGCATGAAAGAAGGTGAGAGAGAGGAAGGCAAGGAGGGAGAGAGAGAGGAAAAGACACACACACACAGATGTGCCCTAAAATCCCACTTGCCTTCCCCGACTTCTTCCCCAGGACAGATATGCTTCATTCATCTATTTCACCCCAGAGGAAACGCCACAGTGATGAAAAGCCTCAGCACAGCCATATCCCTGAGACCTGACAGCATCGCCTCCTGCAGCACACTCCTACCACCATAGTGCCAAGGGGCCTTTAAGAACCACCTTTGCACATATCTGTTACTGTAGGCAGAATGAATGTACCACATCTGGAGCAATGAGCTGTCTCCCCCTGCTCAAGTCTGGGCTGGTCAGAGTAGCTCACGGGGTTTCTTTATGGGACCTGAATAACCCCTCCTGCTCTTAAAGCCCCTAGGCTGTCTGAAAAGCGATGTAGGAAGTCTTTAGATAACACCATTGGGCAAAAGGCCAACTGTGCTAACATAAAGGAAGTGAAAAAGGCCAGGAGCCAGACAGGGCAGCTTTTAGCCCAAAACTAGGATGCAACTGGCCCTGGGCAGGAGCACACAGAGCAGTCCAATCTGCTAGTGTTCCTGAATAGGAGAGTCCCAGGAGTTGGAAGGGGGTATCAGCCCTGGGCCTGAAACATAAAAGGGCTCAAGCCTGCAGCTTACGGGAGGAAAGATATAAAGGAGAGGGGATAAAGGGTAAACGGGAGACTCGACTATGAAAAGTGAGGGCTGGGTGAAACAAGAGAGAGAGAACCAAAACTAGTCCAGAGCAGGCTGGTAGCCCTAGTTATAGCAGTACATGGGTGCAGAGGGGTGAGAGGGTGAGTCAAGGATGAGAATGAAGAGAAAGAAGGAACTGGAGGAGAGATCCTCACTGCAGCCCAACAGAGCAGGGACCACAGCTTAGGTCCCAGGGGAGCCCAGCTACGACTCAGGCAGTTTACATTGCCACAGGGAATAGAGCCTGAGGCTCTTCTATCTGGTGGTGCTGCACATGCCAGCCCTGTTTATCTCCTTAACAACAACAACAAAAAAGCAACATCAGACTGGGTGGGAAGGAGTTTCCCCTTTGTGCTGGGGATACAGGGAAGAGGGAGGATCTCTGTGCAACCTGGACAGCCTGAAATTGAGATCCCTGGGCTGGGAAGCGGCCTCAGACTAGTAAGAAAGAAGAGAGATAAAGAACAGTCTCCAGGAGTCCCAGGCACCAGTGGGCTGTCTGGAGAGTAGATGGGGCCAGGCATGCTGACCCAGCACAGTTTCAGGCACTGGCACAGACTTATTTCTCCAGAGCCAGAAGGAGAGTCCGCAACCTGCAGCACATCAACGGGTGAGGGAGTCCACCAGCTCTCAGTGTGCACTGTTCCAGCTGCTCCACACTTTACACATTCAGCTTGCCAGCAATAGTCATGAGGACTTTCAGGATAGGCATGAAACCAGACACCTCACTGAAACTACTGCTGCTCACCACTTGGGTGTGAACCAGGAGACCCTGTTGGTAGTTCCTAGTCTCAATGCAGTGGGCAATTTCATGAAGACCCATGAGGATGGTTGGAGAGAGCTGTGGGGAGGGAGCAGAAATTAGCCAGCATGCTCAGCACTGTAACACAGGCCCCCCCTCCCTCCATACCCTTCCCCCCTGTTCTCCACCTCATCCTCACCAAACAGCACCTATACAGTCAAGCACTGACAAAAAGGATAGCCTGCTTCCTCCCTCAGCCTCCCAGCCTACAACAAACATTAATCTAATACCCAGGCTGAGTTACACTGAATGCAGGTCCTAAGCAACGACATTTCAGCATTAATTGAGTATCTGAAGAGGACAGAACCCTGTCTCTGTTCAGGCCTAATATGGACACTTGGGGAAACGGTGTATGTTAAAAGACTCCTTCCCTTGATAGTCACCCCTCAAGCAATTGGCATCAACAGCTTCAGAGTTTTCTGAGCCAGCAGTTACACTAGGTTCACACTTAACAACTACCCCCAATTGCCCCTTCCCGTCTGGAACCTGTCTATATGCCAGCATACTTCCTGCAGGCAAAAGCACCCTGCAAATACGTCCCTAGCTTTTCCTTACACTGCGTGGGCCAAGGTTAAGGAAGAAGAGATAAGACTGGCTGGATTCAAGGTGCGTTACAAGGTTTGGCACTTCTTTAGCTTTCTCAAGTGGATACGTGCTGGTAACGCTGCGACAGAGACCGAGGCCCACAACCCAGTGCAAAGGTGGGATCAGGAACCCGGCTGGACCACAGGGAATGGTGGCATCTACTTACCGCCTGCTCGCGGAGCTTCTCATACAAAGACTCCAGACGCTGCAATGCATCCTCCAGCTTCCTTCGGGTTTTCTGAAGTGAAACAGGTATTGCTAGCTCTGCCAGAGCTTCAAAGCCACTTCTCCCAGAAACAAATTATTCTCACTCAGTCCCTCCCCTCCTCTGTTCTTCCCACAGCACCTTACAATTCAGCTGCATCTCAGCCTCTGCCAGCCAGGGAGTGCGATACGAGCCAGCCATGCCCTTGCTATGCGCCTACACATGCAAGCACACTCTCCCCTAGATAAGAAGATCTCCCAGCCTAGGCATTCCTCCCTTCTGCCAGTACTTGCAGACCACAGCACAGAGTGACTACTTCCAAAGCTTGAGAAACATCCACTAGTTGACCCACAGAGCATTCCAACAGCCTCACCCTGGATAACCTAAGCAACAGCTTCTTCCTGGTCTCCTTCAGGAAAAGAGGGAATATCCTTCCCACTCTAGGTAACCACTAAGGAAAGGGTCTGAGTACTGAAGCTCTGGTAGGACTGACCCCATTAACCCCACCTTGGATAATCCACTCACAGGTAACTTACACCGTGGATAGAAAGGCCTGGCTCTAGGCTGTGCTGGGACAGGCCTGGCAGCCTTAGGAGCTCAGGTGCATTGCACTGCTGTACCAAGCCAGCTGCTCAACCTCCATGTAAGCCCAGTGCTTAAGCCCAAACCAACAGGCCTTTCTGTCCATAGAGCGAACCTTTAGGTTATCTCCCAGAAATTGCTACACTGCACTCTCAGAAAGCACAAAGAAAACATGCCAAAGCTGATTCTATGCACAAATTGTCTGACTCTGGGATAGCAGTTTGGGCTCAGCGATCATCAAATAATACCCACTAAGCAGAGGTATTCTGGAAGGCTTCATGGTGCCCCTGAGCTCTCGGAAGACTTAGCAACCTAACATGATGCTGCAAACACTGCTTTTCTGCTTCTAGACAGTCTGGGCCGATACATTCACACAACATGACATATATGCCAACAGCCTTCCAGGAACCAGGGTGAAGACGTGACAGCGACTTGGACATAGAGACTGACTTTGTCTTCAGCCAGGATATCTCAGCCTTTCCCTCTAAGCTCTGAGGATAGCTGGTAATACCAGCTCTGCAGGCATAGATCAAGCCAGTGAAAAAGAAAGCTAAAGCAGCTGTATCGTTTCTTCTACTTTCCTCAGAGAAAAGAGCCTGGGAGACAGAACCATTGCTCCAGAGAGGCAATGAGAAGCAGTAGATAAACGCTAGAGAATGCATCTCAGTTCCCAAAGAGATGGACAAGCCTATGGCCTCAAGGCAGGAGGCAGATGGAGATTAACTTGGTTATAGGGACAAGACTCTTCCTCTCTTCTCCCCACCAAAAGAAGGAAGCACCAGTTAAACATCTATGAGGGAAAAAAAGCCAAAGATCAGAGAAGGGAGGACTTACTGGATCAGTGGCGACAGCAGAGCAGCGTTGCACCAACCCTTCAAATGTGGCCTTCAGAGCCCGGTGCTCAGGGGGCACGTCCTTCTTCTCCACCCTCTCCACGGGCAGCTGGTGATACTGATAGAGAGAGAACAGCTGAATGAATGCAACAGGAGCATGAAAGGCTGGAGCAGGTAGATTCCCTTCCTGCAACTATGAACAGAAAGAATTTCACCTCTTTGCAAACCCAGAGAATAACTGGAAGCACAGAGTTAGATTATCATCTTCAGGCTGTGGTATAGCTTCAGGCCTCTAGATTCCCAGCTCCCAGCAGGCTGACAGCCTGTCTGGCCTCTCTCCCTCTCATACCCAGTGTCATCTTCCACCATGGCAATTCCTCTAACACTGAGGCAGAGATATCTTATAAGGACTAGGGAGCAACATAAGCCATGCAGCTGTCAAGTAATAAAAATCTCAAAAGCTGAGTTGTTTTTCTACTTGACAAGGAGCTGGTGGCTGGGGAATGCCCCACTTTCCCTGGGTACCTGCAGGCTGCCTTCCTTGGGTGCTCCTGGAGGTGACTGGCCAGATTCTTGCAACCTGGACAGCTGAGGATGGATCCCTTGGGGCTCAGCGGGCAGGCTCATTACTGGAGCTGTGATGGGGGCTGGAGGAGCAAATTTCTCAGGCAACTGTCAGCAAAAAGAAAGAAAAGAACAAAAAAAAAGATCAAGAAAACCCAGTCCAAGGAAGGAAGGCTGGTTACACTCTCCGCAGTCAAATTCAACTTCCTTTCTAACTTGCAGAGTGCCCAGTTCTCAAGATGATGTGTAACACATCCCTGCTCTTTCAGCCCCCTGACTCAGAGCTTGGGGCCCTTCCTCCTGCATCCTAGATGAACAGTCAAAGCGAGAGCAAGAAAACTCCTCTGGAATTGTTCAATCAAACGGATCCATTGCCCGTGAAAGCACTGGTCCTCAGAAAGCTGCCTTGGCTCTGCGACGGCACGAGTCCTGAATGTAGAGATTAGCAGCAGTAAAGTGTCCAACAGAGCAAGTGTTGGGGAAAATCCCACGACATGGGGGGAGAATCCTCTTGCAAACACTTCATCGTGCCCCTGCTAAGCCAGAGAGTCAGGACAGATTCACTCTGACGGGGCTAGATCAAAAGGAGATGGCTTTAACAAGAGGCTAATCCTGTTGTAGTGAGCACAGCCTGAAGCAGGTTCCCAGCTACGCTGCCAGAAAAAAGGGCGAGAAGTCTGTTCCAAGCTAAAGAAGAGGAGTGGGGGGTGGGAATGGTGCCAAATAAACTTCTTGTCACACCTGCCAGCAGGCAGCAGTGATAGAAATGAGGTACTGAAAGCATTTGTTGCAAAACAGCTCAGCTTACAGGTCCTCCCGTGCAATCACTACAAGGAAGAGAGCAGCAGGGCCAACACGGCAGGCAGCTCACAGCTACACCTGTCCCAACTGCTTTTAGAAGAAGTGCCTTATCAGCTGGTATCAGTATCTGAGGAAAATCACTGTGGGTCTCACTGTGCTGAGGGGAAATGCTGCCCTCAGCTGTCAGATGTGAAGTGAGCGTGATCTCCCCAGACACTATCAAAAACGGTGTGTGGGCAAGGGGATAAGATTAAATCCATTTTTCTAGCAACAAGTGACTGTAGTCAGCCTGGGATGTACAGAGGATGCAGTATCACAGATGATAACCATGTCACAAAAACAGCCACCCTGGAGAACTGCATGCAAGTCTGGATGGCAAAGGGTCAAGATTACTTAGACTCCAGTCCTAGCTATACATGTAATGCAGAAGTAGACAGACCAACATGGAATGAGACCTGCTGAGTGTGTCAGAAAGCATTTATAGGAATGTATCTGTTGCATGTAGCTCCCTGGCTATAAGACAACCAACACATACTGCAACTGAAAGCTTACCTTTTTCTTTTGAAGGCCACCTCTTACAGCAGAGGGATCAGGCCAAGATTCCTGAGCTGCCAAGACAGAGAACAAGACATAAATGTCAGAGTTTGAGAAGGTGAACACAGCAACAATTCATGGTTGCTTGCATGGTTTGGAACTTCCTTCAGCAAAAGGGCCCATGGCCCATGGTCCAATTCCCCCATCACTGAACCTTCAGACCATTTCAACCAGGGAATTTCAGGCCCAGCTCACAGGCCCAAGAACTGCTCTTTCTTTCCTTTCTCTTTCTTAATCACATTCTTAGCATCCGAGTACATGCACAGGCTTCATGAGGTGATGTCTGATCAGACTGAACTGGTACACACTCTCCCACACAGAAAGCTTTTTCACAACTACCTGAAGCGTTCTGCATTCTGCACAGGCTGCAGAAGTCAGCCTCAGCATCAGGCCTGAACCTTGGTCAGGACCTGCACATTTGTGAACCTAGGGGTTCAAGGAATTCCTGGGGTTCCTCAAAGAATTTAGCACTGTGGTGCCACAGCGAGGGCTATGTTATGGGTGAGAGAGGGCTTCTCACCAACATTCATAGGAGTGCCTCACGGCTGCAGTCCACAGCAATGCAGGTTGCCCTGATAAAGGCGGGGAAAAGTTAGGGCTGGGTTGAAGTTTTTCCCTTCCAAAATCATGTTCAGAAACAAAGCTTAGCAAAATTTGCTGGCTTCCCAACTAGAAGGGAATAGACATAACCAGTAAACACCTTCAGAGCAGAGGGGTGTCTCAGCAGACACTTCTGCCGTAGCCTCTAACCTCCCTCTAGGTAATTAAAAATCCATTGGACAACATGACATCAAAAGACTTGTGACCACACTTCACTCTGCGAAGTCAAATTCCAACTACCTTGTCTGCTGCTGTCCTGTAAGGGTACCTGCATCTTTAGACAAAATCCCAGTGCTTCTTTCGTCACCCCAGTATTAGTAACCTCAAACCCATGAGACTGGCACAATCTGTGAGAAAGTGGCATAATTTTAAGGGGCAATATCAAAATTGCTGGAGCTCAGTGCCACACTTAATGAGCCACTGATCCTGAACAGAGCTTTAAAAATCACCGGGGAAAGATGCGAAAGGTGCTTCATTACTTTAATTACCTTTATTATTAAAATTCTGGCAACCTCTTTTTGCCCTCCCTTTTCCCATGATTTCAAGACTCACTCTCTGATGAGTTTGGATCAACAGTTTAATTAAGTTGGCACTTATTTCTAGCTTGGGGATTCTGTGCCCTAGAACTCTGCTGGCCCCCATCAAGCCTGTGGCCTAGCAGTCCCTGGCACTATTCCAATCCAGTGGCACTTTGAATCCTCACAGGAATCAGCTATTTAAATTATAGTCTTTAAGCCAGGCACTTAATCATCAGACATGAGACAACAGGACTCTGCTGCATTTCGCTGGGATGAAACTCTGACTATCTTGCTTACGCTACTTGTGAAAGAGGATTTCTCACCAACCCTGAAAGGAGTGCCCCATGGCAGCAGTCTCCAGCAATGGCTGTCCTAGAAAAAACAAGACCGCCACAGGCTGGAGCGAGGGATTATCTTGGCCAGAAAGGAGATCAGCCAACATGTTGCTGTCCTTCACTCTGTCCTTGACACTCCCCCGGAGCGTGGGATTTCTACAAGAGATCTCTCTTCATTGCACTAGTGAGAATGTGTTCATAAGCTGTTCAGATCACATTCAGGAATTTCCAAAGCAAGCAAGTTTGGCCAGTCAGATTGAGTGATCTTACAGTTCCTTTCCAGGTTAAAGAAAAGTACACATCAAAACCAGAAGAGTAATAGCAGGCAAGAGAGCACTCTCAAGGAAGCCAGTTTGCACTGCTGATCTCCACATGCCGTATGCTGCCATTAAAACCAGGGGTAAATGTTATCAGGAGAAGGGAACTTCCCAACAGTGAATTTCTGCAGGGCATCTTCAGTCTGAGGAAGTGCTTGAAATCCTTGCCAGGGAATCATCTTTCCTTTAACAAGGAAACACTGGGGTCTTTTTTTCCTCTGCTGAAGGGACAACTCCCTTTCTAGAGTTCCACTCCACACAGCAAGGCTTGCTTGGTGGTGTAAGCAGCTACTGAGTACTCGGATTTCCTAAATAAAGCTGAGACTCCCTAGATAAATCTTTTGTGCCTGGCAGATGGTCTTTGGCATAAGCAACAGTCACTGTGAAGAGACAGCCCACTAAGACATTGAGCCTTACCCCACTTACAAAGTAGACTAGAAGACACCTTCTCTCCATCATCAATGAATCCCAAGGAAAGAAATCAGTACAAAGCATCAGCCAGAAAACCTCTATGGTCCAAATTCTCCCCAGCTGATGGACTGAGATTGAAAGCCAAACCTCGCCCTGTAACTAAACCCAAAAAGGTTTTCCAGTTCACCGTGGAATAGAGCCCCCCAAATCCTGCTTGGGAAGCTTTACTCTACCACTGCTCATGCTGAGACCCACCTCTTCCAAACCACCCAGGGAAAGCACAAGGGCAAGTAAAGCCACGTACAAGGCTGGGCATGTAACAGGGAGAAAACAAGAGATGAACTACAACCACCAGCCTGTTCCTTGCCTAGAGAATGAAGAAAGTAAAAGGGGCTGCTTCCCTGTCCTGCTGGCCCAGCAACTGCCTGACACAGAGACTCAGAATGCTCTAATTCCTTCAGGACTGGAGGGAAGTACAGAAGGAAGAGGCCGGAGCCCCTGCCTTTTGTACCCAAACTCATCAGTAAGAGCACAGTGCTTTCATTTCACTTCCTGTCATTTACTAGAGCTCAGGACAAGTATGTCCACTACCCCAGCTGCATAGCTCCCCAGGCATGCAAGGAACAAACAAATAGCAATGCATGCATGCATGCATACACACACAGTAAAACGTGCACACACTCCCCACATTTCACTGGAAGCAGCAACATTGCCTCCCCCACAGGTCTGGAGGCTTCTCTGGGTACTACCTGCATGATCCACGTGGGGATCTAGCCAAGGGAAGAAACCTGAAAATCAAGGCATGGTGGGAGAGTCATCATCACCAACAGCTCTTACTCAGTGAGTAACGTCCCTGGACTACTATCCCTGATAGCTTTTCAGAAGGAATTTGTCCAGACGTAGCTTAGAGCCTTTGTGTGTAGTCCCCACAGGCTTCACGCAGTGGGATTTGCTATCCTTGGTTAAACACAGCTCAGCAAAAGAATCCAGGTGGAGGCAAACCTCAAAGCCTCAGTTCCTTCACTCTCTGCTCAAAAATCTAAGGCCTGTCAGCCTTGTTGTTAGGGATCTCCACAGCCTGGCTAAACCTGTCCCCTGAGAAAGCAAAGAACTAACAAGCACCAGATGTGGTGACGTTGTGGGAAACAGAAAGAGGGAATGCCCATCCACTGGGAACTAGGTCCAACAACACTCTCTTTCTTCACCACGCTAGCAAGGACTTCACAGTACTTGCAGGCTGGGCTGGATTCAAACTACAGGCCCAGAGGGGAAAGGCTCCAGGTCAAGAGCACTGCAAGGAGGAATCCAGAAGTGATTCTCAGCACTTTGTGGCAACAGGAAAACAAACAGGGAGAACTAGAGCACAGCAGACAGAAGAATTTTATCCTGAAGCTAAGCAAGGGGTATCCCATGGACAGAGAAACAGCACCCTGCTCTTCCAGGTGCACTACTTGTGCAAGTTACATAAGCAGGGGCACGATCAGCAAGCCTTCCACCAAGTACTCCCTGTGAACCACACCTTTTCATTCAGAGCAGATGCCCCTGGAGTGGATGACTATTCAGGGTACACTGGGGACCTGAAGAGACAGCATTTTGTAACCACAGCCTGGGGGACAGAGCAGCTGAACAGGCTGAATGAAACTGTCATCACTGCTGTGCTTCACCGCCACAGCAAGACTCAGCACAATGTGCCTGTACGGTTAGCCTCAGCACCACATCCAGCCTTTATGGTGACAGACCAGACCTCAGAAGGTCCACGTCCATTATGTACTGCAAACCTCATCCAGAAGTGTTCTAGACACACAAGTCACGCAAGCAGTACTTACCTGTGGGAGGAGGAGGAATGCTGGCTGCTGGCAGGGGCTTAGTAGATGGAGCTCCAGGACCTCCCTGAGGGTAACCCATGTTCATGGGGCAGTTGAAAGGTGCTGAAGAGAAACCTACAGAAGACTGGCTTGGCACAGGGAGAGGACACGCTGCAGGTAGCTGAGATGACGGGACTGAGGCTGGAGTGAAGAGGGCAGGTCTGGGTGGTGGAACACCAGATGTCATGGGCATGGACTGTCCTGGCAGAGGAGGCTGGCTGGGGAAGGGAGCAGGACCAACAGGTCTGATTCCTGACGGTCCGAATGACTGAGACTGTGACACAGCTACAAATGAGAAAGAAAGTACATCAGCATCACTTGTTTCATGTGCAACCTACTCCTGACGCCTTCCTTCATGCTAGAAAGTCTGCCCTTCTCCAAGCCATATCCTAGAATATCCATGCCAGGCATATCCCCCATAATCCAGGCTACATCAGTCAAACTCTGCCACAAAGTTAGCTGTGGCTTCTCCACCGCTATATATGCTTAATATCAGTGGACGTGCAGCAGCAGTTGCTAGAACTGCATGTGTCAGAAGAGCTGAGAAGCCTCTCGGACAGCTGACCTGTTCTTTGCAAGTACAACAGGCCTGTGAGGAAGAAAGTAGAGCAGCCATCCATGTTGAAGGCTTTAGTCTAAGAAAACCTGGAGAATGCACGTGGCTATCAGACAATGCTTACCCGGCCCCGAAATGGTTGCTGGAACCAGGCCCAAGTTGTACTGTGGGTATGGGGGTGCCCTGGAATACACACTTGTTTGAGGACCCGTGCTGGCCTGGGGAGGGGCAACATGGTGAGGTGTCATAGACATCGCTGTCACTGGCTGAGGCGTGAAGAGGGAAGGCACTGAAGGCTGAGAAGGTGCTGAAGGGGCAAATGATGACTGATAGTTGGGCTGCAATTAAAAACAAAGAACCTGCAAATGGCTGACACAGTCGCGCATACACACACAAGCAGATGCACTGTCTACCCATGTCAGATCTCAGCAAGAGAAGATGCTGCTGCTGTCAGCACCCTGAATGGATTGGATCAAATGTCTTTCCCACCATCTAACTAGAAAGGTGCCAGACAGCCTACTTTTGGATTATCACAAAGCTGTGTCTGCTCCAGTGAAGGACACCACTGACAAGTTCCTCAGTGCCTGCAATCTGCATCATCCCATATTACTTCATATGCCTTCCACAACCCAGCAAGCCTTCCTCCCTCTCCCCAAGCCAGGAACACGTGAGTTTAAGGCCTACCTGCTCTGGATGTCTGGGACCTGTTTTGTGGGCTGCTCCTTCAGGGGCGGAACCACCCTTGGCTGCTGAAGAACTGTGTTTAATGACACCTACATCGACACGAGTGTAGGGAAAAGGGGGTGGCTGCTGATCACCCACATTCTCTCCTTGAGCATGGAAAAGCCGGTCTCTAAGCTGTTCGATCAGGAGCTGAAACAAACTGTGCTTTAGGAGAGGTGCCTTGAAAGCCTCAGATGAAAGGTGCTGGGGAGGCATTCAAAGCAGATCCTGACCCAAAGCACTGAGCATCAACCTGCAAAACTAACCATTTCCCCAATAGCCACCAGGAAAAAAAAACACAACAAACTGTAAGTGACAATCTGGGACTTCACCCGCCATATTCCCAGCCAGATGAAGTCTCACCGATCCTTCCCCCAGTCTTTAGACTTTTCCCTTCCCAACCTCTGCCCACGTTCGGGCACTAGACAGATTTGTTTCAAACTACAAGGTGACCTCCCCATTCCCTTGCTCTACCAGCTAGATTCAGGAATAAATGCAGCTTCCCTGGAGAGCTGCTTTCCAGCATTGTTCTCCAAGAACCATTTTACATTTTACAGTTCTATAGCTCCCTTCCTTTTCCCTGATTCAAAGGTACTGCAAAGAAAAATCAAATGAAGACAAGAGCTGTGTGTCCTAGGAAAAAACAACACACCTCTGCTCTCAAGTTACCATAATTAAGGTGAAACCTTAAGTCCTGATGCATGTCAAACCCCAAGCTTGCTCTCGTACAAAGTATAATTTTTTCCTATATACTACTTTTTCCCACAACAACTCATTTCTCACTCACCTCTTTAGAGCTGCTGGGTAGGTAATTCATTGCAGCTGCCAAGCATCCTTGTGATGCCAGGAGACTGGCATATTGGGTGATTTGTTCTGCCAAGACAGGGCCTGGCACTTGTCCTGCTGTGCCTTGGAGCATCTCAATGGACCTGCTCAGCACCATCACCTTCTCTATGAGATCCTGAATAAGCCAGGGGGAGGAAAGAAATAGACCACTCTGAATCTGACTTGCTTTACTGGTTCATCTCATGCTGAGACAATACCAGATGGCTTTCCCCACTTTCAGCTGACATCGGGTCCAATGTGAACAGACGTTACTCCACTCTGCACCAGATACTACTGGTTACCATGTCCTCAGGTGCAGGGACTCCACTTTGTGGAGAAAAACAGGTACAGTCTAAACTTCCCTGACTAAAAGGAACCTCAGAGATGACATCAGTATACAAAGACAGACAGGTAGCCCATAACTCCTGTCCATGGCTGGATTTATGTGCAATGTAATCAGTACTCTCTAAACACACAAACCCTTAATGTTTAAGAGTGCAAGTCTCCTTTAGATGGAAGACAGTAATCCAGACTAGGAGATACCTTGGTGACTACAAACAGGTCTCCACTGTCTGCTATAAGCCAGATACTCTGTTTCATGGAATAATGCAAAAAGATCAGGGCTACCAGACTGGCCTAAAGAGGAGTAAAACAAACATTATAGCACCTGTACCTGCAGGGCAAGGGGTGATGAAGTCTCATGCGTTTTTACCCAGCATTCCACCAACCTCTCCACGTTGCCTGATGAGATATAACAGAGGCAGGCATCACTGGACAGGGCTGCATCTCCTTCTGACTCTAGGCGGGCACCCAGCATGTCTAGAGAGGAAGAAATACAGCCAACATTTAACATACTCTCTTTTTGAAGAGCTCATTAACCCAATGCTCATCTCTTAGCACTCCTACTCTGGCTTGGCATGAAAAGGTGTTGGCAGCTAATTCTTGGATAACACAGAGAAATGGGCATCATTAAGGAATCCCAAAGCCAACTTAGTTGAAAAAAGAAGTAATTTTTTAATATATCTGTCAATTTCTGTATGTCTGCACAGACATATAAAAGAAAGAAAAACCCGTAAAATTGACAGATGAATTCAGTGAAAAAATCCAATGCCTTTTTTTTATTTTTTCCAAAGAGGTGTGGGCATCTCCAGGCACAGCAGTGTCCAGTACCAGGGACAGCTAGTAATCCGGTAGCTGTCAATGTTTAGCAAATGCTAGGAGATAAAGGTGAACTGGAGCTATCTCACTATCACCACTGCCACTTTCCACCCCTACAATTCGGTCTGTAAAAGATGTCGTGTATTCTTGCATTTCAAGCTGTGTCATGCGGGCAGACCGCTTTGCTGATGCCATCATTACTTGCACAAAGTGCTGGCATTTCTCCAACAGCACTTAGCTGCTCTCATCAGCCAGGAGTTAGTTCTCAGCTAAGCAACATGCGTAACTTCATCACATTCAGTCACTAGATTGTCCCTGAACTCTGACTCTCAGAACAACCAGTTGCTGAGCACGTTGGACTATTAACAGGACTGAAGAAACTCCTGAAGCCATCAAACATTCATTAACCCCTATTTCTGAGCTTAAAAGGGAGGGGAATGTGCTGGAATGCTAAACCTCTTTCAGATGGAGTGAAGCCACCTAACCTTTAATGTTCAGGAAATCCCTTTATTCCTAGAATAAAATAATAAATATCACCCTCTTAATGCCTCAGTCTAATGCCTATCTGTTTTTTTCCATGCTATTGGTAGAGGTGACAGGAAATATCAGCGTATATAACTTTACACTATGACTCTCAGCTACAGCATGCACGTATCATTCTCCTAACTCAACAGTTCACACTTGTTTAGTAAGCTCCAGCTAGCTGTAAGGTATAAGAAGTGCTTTCTTTCCTCAACGGTATCCACTTCTTTCTGTAAGCAGTCCAGAGTTGCCCTCTCCTAAGGGAAATCATAACAAAACAAAGCATGCTGCATACCACAGAGCTGGGTATAGTCCTCATGCTTTGAGTAAGTTAACAAGATGGCCAGTGCCTCCTTCCAGCTCTGTAGATCACACGTGTAAACAATATCTTGCCAGTTCTGCTGCACAATGGAGGAAAGCAGCTGTAAGGGAAGCAGAAGGCCTGTCAGTCACTGAAGACAAAGATAAGCTGACTGCTTAAGCAAGTGCACCCACAGGCATAGCTCACTTTTAGGCACGCTTCCCGCTGTGCGGCAACTACCTCACTGTACTTGAAGGTCCACCAATCCCAGCATTCCAATGTTAACAGTAATTGGAACCCAATGCCTCTAAAGAAAGTAAAAAAGCCCAACAAAGAGAATATGGAAACAGCCACACTAGGCAAGACTAAAGATCTATCTAACACAGAGCAGCCGTTTCAGAGCAGCTAGCATCAACGACTGGGAATATAGGGTTAGGATATCCCAGCTTCCACTTCCTCATTTGCCAATTAATAAGCTAGGACCTTCCTAGCTGAGCTGTAAAGGGGCAGTATGCTCCACAGGTTACAAGCATGGGGAGCTCTAGGCAGAATGCATTGGATTAGAAAAAAAAGGAAGAGAGAACACAGACATTCTAGATGGGCAACATGAAGTTGTCATGAAACTACCAAGAGATTAGAGTAAATGTTAAGTCAAGGAGATGCACAGATTCTGCTGACATTCTACTTGCTGCCAAAGCATTTCCACATATATTCAGACAAACATCTGCCAAGATATCGCACACCTCCCCCTACTCAGTAGGTACACAAAACTGGCACTTACCAGAGAGAGTTTTGTCTTACGCTTGGCAAAGTAGCGCTTCTGGGTCTCCTTCAGGAGGTTCTCTCCACCAGCTATAGCTAAGATGATGGCATCAGCAAAGCGGTCTGCTCGCATGCACAGCTCCACTGCACCCTCAAAATTCCCCAACAAAAGGGCTTGGCTGATGAGTCCATCCGTATCTACAAAGGTGAGGAGAAGCACAGTTCACCCACAGAGGCATCATCCAGATACATTGATGATACTCATTTTAAAGAGCAGGAAGTAAAAAACAACAACGTATGGAAGCCCAGCTAAAAGAAGGTCTGGAAATCCAAATCAGGTTTTGCACTTTAAAAAAAACCCACTGACATGACAGTAAGTCTTCCATCATCTATACTTCTAGATTTTTAATGGGTCTCTTATCTGCAAACAGTATTTCCTTGCACAATGCTGAGAGACACTGCATGACACTGGGAGGGGTCAGGTGTTTAAAAGTATCCATGTACTGGAGTGGACCAGGTTCTTCCTGGTATCTCTAATTTTCTGGTCTTCCCTCCTCTCCCCTTTTCTTAAAAGGGCAGAAACACATTTCATGTAACATACCTTCTGTGACAGGAATCTCCAATGTGCCCATATTCTGTGGGATGAGGTTGTCAAAAAAGGCTGAGGAGGAGGAAACAGCAGCTACATCATCACTGGAATTTATCAAAAGCTGTGCGAAGAGTGCAAGAGGTTAATTAATTCATTGAACACAAAGATCCTGCCCAAAACAGTTCAATGGATTACTAAGTGGGATGGAGCTGCTCTCCATTTGGTTGAGCACTCTCATATAAATCTGATTTCACCTTAGAAACCCATCATACCTCCTGTCACTGCTCTATCAACCTGCACACTTTCACCGGGGCAGCAACAAGAGCAGTGCTGCTATTGACAAAGCTTAGGAGATTGACAGTATAAGATGTGCAATGCCAACAGTATTGCTGGCCAGCATTCATCAACTCAACTGCCAGCCCTTGAGCAAGCTGAACAATTTTGGACAGAATACGGACAAACCCAACACATGATATCTGTAACTAACAGGCAGGATCACAGCCATGCTTGGTGCTCTACTGAAATGCAGGACACAATTGCTACCCCTCGAATATCTCAGCAAGTGTTTAATGTTTGTAAAGAAGACTACTGATTTGAGGATAGCAATTTTAGATACCTTAGAGGAAGCAAAATTTACAGTGCACAGTGAACCAGGCCTTGGAAGGCATCTGAAGATGGTCATCCCAAAATCATGTGAGAATACATTTCAAAGGACAGAGGTGAAAAGGAAAGAAATGCAAAAGAAGTACCACAGGAGAAGCTTCACAGAGGAAATCCAGAACTGTAGCATGAAGTTAGGCTGGGGTGAGGCTAATTCTATCACTGAAGAAATCAGCACCGGTGAAGCAAGCCTTCTTGCAGTGTTAACAGCCAGAAGTCCGTCTTTATCATTCGCTGATTAGTTTTAAACCCAGAAGGGACTGCTATGATCCTTTAGTCTGACCCTGCGAGGGTCTGACAGGACTGTGAACTGCCCTCTGTGAAGCCCACATTGAGTCCAACAACCTGTGGTTGGAATTAAATCTTCCTGTTCATTCTGCCCTACATTGCTTTCCCAGACTGGCAAGATGTACAGGACCTACCTGATCTGGCTGTGCAGCATTTGTCTCATCTGCCTCAGGAAAGGGCTGCTTATCTGGGATCCCTTTACTCAAACATGAGGCGATCTAGAAAACAACAGACAATCACAGAGCCCCTGTTAAAGTTAAACACCTGGGCAGCAAAGCCACCAAGTCACTGTCAATCCCCAGACACAATTCCCCTGACCCTTTCACACCTGTTTGAAAAGTTCCACCTCTCCCTATTCCTGGCTGGCTGACCATCAGAGATTATTTATCCTTTTCAGAGCATTGTCCACTGCTGCAAGAGTTTCCTCCCCTGCAGCTCCATCAGTGCTATGCCAGACTGTCTTCAGCTGTCACCTCCTTTCTGACTGAGGAATCCCCTGAGATGCAGAGAGCTGAATGCTAGAAGAAGCTCTCACAACTGCACTGTTGTTACACACTTCTCAGAGCACCAACAACTGCAAGCAAAATAACTGGACTCAAAAACTCTTTGGTTTGATCCAGTACAACTACAGTTATATCCTTCAAAGTGCCTGCATTTGCTTTTTAATGGGGGATACTTCAGGTGCCTCTCAGCTGAAATTTAATCAGTTTGGTCTCTTATGTGATATGAGATCACTCACTCATTACCAGTAGGGACCCTACAAGTCTCCTGCAGCAGCTTTAGTCCTGTAAAGGTTTCTCTCTATTCGAAAGACCCCTTACCTTTCTTTGCAGATCTTCTTTACTGTAGCCCAGCAGCTTGAGGAGTTTAGTCCTGGACTCCTGCTCCAGATTCACCTGAGTCCCAAACGATATTGAAAAAGACAAGAAAATATGTAAAATCATAGACAACTACAGACTGCCAACAGTTGGCTGCTTCTGGCAGCAGCAAAGTTTAGAGCTCAGTTTATAGACAAGGAACTCAACTATGACAAGTCCACCTAATGAATACTGTGGGAAAATCTACAGAATTTAAGTTATAACCATGATAAAAGGGTGAAATTCAGATTTTTACATAGTTACAACTGCATATCAGGGATATGACTGTATGCATACTTAGCGTACTTGGTCATTAATTCCCTGGATGGCCTAGGAATTGCCAAGCTAACCTCTGCATAGAGCTGATGGACTGATTTGAGCCTGGATGAAACTGAGGCAAAATGATTGCCTGAACTCCTAGCTGGCTTCACAAAAAGTAGTTAACTAATTGTTACAGAAGCTCCCTGGGTGGGGATTTCAGACAGTCACAGAGATTCCCACAGGCTGCACATATCCTAATTGATAGGCACTATTTGTATGGCTTAATGTGCGAGTCACTTCTTGTAAGGAGAACCTGTCTGTCTTAGTAAGTCCCAGGCTGTTCCTACTACAGAACTGACCAGACTGTACATGGATGAGATACTTGTAGTCAGTAGAAACTGTTCTTGCAAGCACAGAAATGGTCATGCAGGACAGCCTTTTCTACAGCAGCTTGGTTTGTAGTTTAAGACAATCAATAGTCATAGAACTTGTATGCACGGGAGTGGTCTCACAGGACCATGGGCCAGCTGGATTATAAAATTTCACTAGAGTGAGAGTTTGAGGTATCTTATCCAATGCAGCTGAAGACATTGTTGCAATGACCCTTGCAGTGGAGACTACTGTCACCACTTAGACTTAACACCTGGCCATCCTACTCAAGAGATATGATTCCCCATGCAAACTTAATACTATGGAAAAGGTCCCAATATTTTGCCACACAAGCAGTCTGCCTACGAATATCCATAAAAAACTACCAAGGCTAAGCCCTGCCCGTCCAAGAAGGGCAGCCGGTCCTCATTACCAAACTCTTTCATATTACAAAATTGTCCATGAAGCCATGGTCCTATGTAGGGCTACAGTCAGTCCTCATGCCACCACAGCTCTCTCCCTTATTACTGGGGAATCTCATTGCCCATTTGGACTTTGCCTTGAGAAATAACAGTAGAGCTCCACAGGTAGCAGGCAGATACAGCTTGGCAGAGGATTGAAATGAGAAAATCCTGTTTAGCACTTTGAGAGGAAGCCCAACTGAGTCCACTGAAAAGACCATTCCTACCGAAAAATACGGTAACCTCCAAGATCTCACTACAAAAACTTTTCTTTAGACAAGTTACTAACTAGCCTATTCCGTTCCATTTTATATCTTAAAGAACAGGAATATAAAGGGCTAGAGAGGACCATAAGGAGCATATTCCACCCCAGTACCATAAAAGAACTGACTTCTGTGTTTCACCACAGCACACCTACCTTTAAGAAGTTCCAAAGGTTCTTATCAAATGGCAACTTGGCTGTCTGGATCTTGCCCTGGCAGTAATCAAGGAGGTTCCCTGACTGCAAAGCCATTTGCAGTTCTCTGGATCGGAGCAAGAATTCAGTTTCAGTAGTGACTTGACTGATGAATACCTGGTGTGAATAAGTCTGCTGCATTTGCTGTCCAGGAGCTTTGGCAAGACCAAAGGAAATAAGTTTTCCTCCAAACTGAGAAAGACAGAAGGAGACACAGTAAGCATTCTTATAAATGAAGGTAAAAGCAACTCACTTAGCTCTTCATTCAGCAAGGTGGACTCAAGCTCCAGTTATGATCACAAGGAACCCAAACAGTTTACTGTGTATGGATGGTAGGGACATTGAAGGAGTTCACATCATAAGCCATTCAGCTGAAGGTTGATAACCATGACACTTGTGTATGTGCTATCAGGCATAGCCAATTGCAAATGATAGAGAGGCACAGAGGAAAAAGTACCATTTGGAACTGTTTGTTCTTTTCTGACACGGAGAGGCAGGCTGAAATGATAAAAACTACTATGTGAATGGTAGGCACTACACAGACAGAGAAGAAATCAGGCCACAGGCTAAAAGAACAATTCAGCCTTTTGATTTAGGAGCAAAGAAGTAAAGAAAATTAAAGAAAATTAAGTATCTGGACAGGAAGGAGAAAGACAGAGGAGAATGGGAATAAATGTCACAGTCTACAAGGACAGCTTTTATGAGTCTTCCTTAGCTTTGTTAACTCTTTCTTACAACCTCCCATTTTCTGCTACAGGACTCTTTCTTGTTGGAAATATATCTGAATGTTGAGCAAAAGAGCTTCGCTCCATGCGACACTACACTGCACCTTCAACAGGCATCAAAACATCCAGCAACAGGAAGATAAAAAGGTTTCTCTAGCAAAGAAAAGGATTGTGTCACAAGTTGACACATCTATTGCATTTTAAGCTAAGGATGCTTCATTCACTTACGGCAAATGAAACCCCCACAGGTCTGCGAATCCACTTGGGTGGCTTTTTTAATGGTGGAATCAAGGTGGTCTGAGCTACTTGCTCTGGCACCTGCAGAGGAGGAAGGATCTGTCCCGTGCCAAAGGGATCCAGGTTGTTGAAGGAGGAAGAGATCTAGAATCAGATGGCGAAGGGAATAAGACAATTCAATTCCTCTCTATACAGAGTAAGCACAAAAAACTATTGCTTAGTAATTAGTTACTTTCCTCAATGATGAAAAAAAGGCTATTACAGCATCTCTTCATGGAATATCACCAATCCTCTATGGAGAGAAATGGTATTTCCAAACAGTTCCAGAAACTGTTTCTCAAGAAAACTTCACCTTGAGAGACTTTCAAGTAATTTTTCCTTAGCAAGATGCAATTTCACTAACAAACACTGCCTGGCCTAGAAACCCAGCTCATAAACATAGGAGTTACAAAATTACTTGTTTTATGCAAGACAGTGACAACATACAGTCAAAAGTTGTCCAACTTACTTCTTGTTTTGCTCATAAAGGAATGCTGATTCCCTTTTTGTTGCTGAGGTCTTTCAAACGGGTTAGTTTTAAGGACTGTCTCAAGCTTTTATAGCTTAGATGAGGCTGATGAAATAATCTCTCCAGACTTTCTTGCCTAGACAAGAGTGTCAAAAGTGGCCTCTGATCTGGATTTCTGACATTTAGGAAAGCAGTGAGCATACACACAACAATGTTCACAAGCATTCTTAATTGTTAACATTGTTGGCATAGATTTGTTGTTTGCTAAAGATAACCCTGTTCAAGTCTGACTGTATCATAGGGCATAGCTCCAAAATACAGCTGACCAGCATACTGGAAAAGAAGCAACACAAGGTTCATCAAGCTAAGGTTGCCAAGCAAAGAATCATAGGCAAGACCTGCATGTTTTGTCTTTCAAGTCTTTCTTGAGGGCAAATCAAATTCAAAGACAGACCATATCCTGGAGGAACAGCTTATACGTAACAGATCAATCACCCTAAACCTTCAAAAAAATAAATACACACTACTGAGGTACCAGTAACATCAACCACCAGGTCTTCAACAGAGTTTCTGTCCTGACACCATGGAATCCAGGGGAGAGACACCTCTTGGTCATGAACTCTCTGCCTCCATAATTGTCATTATCTCCTCCTACTTTTGTGCTTAGTTGTTGTTCTGTTTAACTAGGAGTTATTCTACCCTACTGTTCTCCAGTTTTGAAGAACTGAAGTGTGGCGCATGCACATGAAGAATGCACAGAAAGAAAATGCTCCATGGGTTAAATAAATCCTTAATCTCCTACAGCTGTTGCTTGATAAAGTATTTTCTTTCTCTTGCAAATCCTAGGAAACCAAACTCAGTCAGCTGTAAATTACTATATAAATAACACTGAAGTCAGCTCTTACATATTCTCTTAAAATCTGTATTGTAAGGCATTTATTGGCTGGGAGAGAGAGAGGGAATTAAAACACTAGACACCAGATTAAACCTAAAACTTTAGACAGTACTAACATTTAATCTGTTCAGAGTTTGCCCATCTATTCATTGGTTAAGTAATGGGTTTCAGTATCAAAATATTAACATGCTCCAAGTTATAGTCAATTGACTTGACGAAAATTACTATTAGAGGCTTATAAGCTATTTTTAAAAATTCTTTTCTGAACTAATAAAGAATAACATGTTCTATTAATTAGTATCAAAGTATTCAATTTAGCCTAATGACAAGTCAAGCTTGTTGCTCTAACAGGTGTGCTGCTTTATTTTTAGTCTAGTAGTAATAACCATAAAAAACATACAACATCAAAACCACACTTGATCTTGGTTCTCTTTATACACTTCAATGAATTTTACAAGAAATACTGAGAAACCTTTGTCAAGAGGCAACGTAGTCCCTTTGGGACTTGGTGGATATTAAGTCCCCACACCATACAGCTATACGTCCTGGTGGGTGGGACAGACTGCGTCACTTAAAAATTGTCCTGTTACATATGTGTGCTTCTAATGCTCTCAGAAGTCAGTCATCACCAATCTGTCAAGCCATAACACGTTCACAGGACTTTACCTTGTCAGCCTGTGTCTTCTGCTGAGCTTCTAAGTTCCCGCCCATAACAGAATAAATGCTGATCCACCCATCAAAAGTGGCAGCAGAGAAGACTGAAGGATTCCTAGGACACCACTGGACATCAAAGCACCACTGACTCCGAATGGGCAACTCGTAAACCACCTATCTCAGAAAGAGAGAAGGCAGAAGCACAACACGAACAGTCCCCTGCTTTCCCCAATTACTTGTCCACAGCACGTCACCCTTTATTTATGTATCACCATTGTATACAAGTCTCTTATTTTTGCTTCTTGAAGGACTCATTGCAACCATGTTATAGCACATTGAGCCCAAACAGTAGAAAGCCACAGAAAGCTGCTATACTATAGGATTCTGATTGTAGAACAAAATGTGAAAGCAACAAGTCAGTACTGTCACACCTGCTGTAAACCAAAGGAGACACACCAGAAAACAACACAAGAAAACCAGAAGCCAAAAGGCAAGAAGGTGTCATGAGAAAGAACATGTAAACAGAAAGCATAATCTGGAAGAACAACTTTGACACAGAAAATTAAAGCCTACAGAAAAAAGTAGTACAACAAAAGAGGACTGTAATAGTTGCAGATGAACTACAGCCAAAAGTTTCTGATCCAGCACTCAAAAATCCACAGTTCAATTCATGGCTCAGTCACAGATTTCCTGCCTGATGTTGGGCAACTCACTAACACAATCTTGACTTTGAACCTCTGGTGTGTAACATGAAGAGATTTCCTTTATGCCTCACAGGTACAAAGCACAGAGAATCACAGATTCCTCTGTGAGAACATAATCTGCATTTTCTGTTCCCAGGTATAAAACCTTGCATTTGCTTATGTTAAAATCTGGATTGCTAAATTATGAAAAAAAAAAAAAAAAAAAAAAAGAAGAAGAAACAAATTAACCCCAAATATCCCCCCAAAAAAACAATCCTTCCCACAAAGTCAGCAGATCAGCCATTCTGTTTAACTGTACTGTCCTTACTATTGAAAACCTTCCCAATTTTTGTATTACCTGAAATTTTTCTGTTCATTAGTACCAAGTCAAGAAGACGCTCAAAACAATAGTTTGTGCATAAATGCCTAAATTGACTTTAATTAATTTGGATGCTGCAAATCTACAGCAGCATGCATAAAGATGAGCCAGCTGCACTAAAATTGTTTTTTAATTTTTTCCCCTAAAACACAGTGAAAAGACTTTAGTAAAAATTAGACTTCAGGAATATTTCAGAATCTGATTCTCTTCTAACCACTAGACATCTGTACCGAGTGAGCATCAAATCCCATGAAAACACAACAGCAGCATTTTATGCATTTCACGAAAATGGATTAATTTTTTTCCATGCCTCCAAGGCAAAGGTGGTCCCGTGACCATAAAGGGTATCTCATGAAATGAATCCAGCTTCGGGCTCCCTGCTAAATTTTGTTCACTACTGTTAGAGTACTTTCCCCATGCTATCATCAAGATCAACTGCATGAATTTTGTTCAAAATTCAGTTTTATCCAGAAATTGAGCATTGAATGAGTAGGTGTGCAGAAAATTTTTTTACACAGTCCTATTTTAATTCAGGTGATACCAAAATATTTCAAAGATGGTAATTTTGAGATATATGACTAGATATGCACATACATGTGAGACCACTGTACTATGAATAAAGTTTACACACATATTTAATTGCATTGTTCCCCTCTCAATGACCCTAACAAATGTGCCCCATTTTCCTTCAAGTCTTTCCCCCCAAAACTTACTACCCTAGGAGATTGAAGAAGAAGAAACAAATGGACACAGAGAACACTACATCTATGAACATAGCATGAGTACTCATAATTAGCTGAAACTAAGTTTTAGTTAAAGCTTTCTTCCCTCTATGATCTCTGGATACAGACATATCAGAGAAAATCTGCCTGACCATTGTTTTCAGTCTGGATATGAACAACACTTTCATTCACTCCAGACAGGAAGAGTGCAGAAGACATACTGGAGGAAATGACACCGGCACTCCACAGGGACACAGAGAAGGGACACACACACAGCATAGCACACAACTCTGTACAAAGCAGACCATGTGTACTTATAGCTGTGGTTATGTACCTCCCCCATACTTGGGTTCCAGCACAAGATCCGGTTGTCTTTGGCACTACTCAAAAGTAGTTCAGGGTCAGCCTGGCACCAAGAGACAGAGAGAACTCCCCTAAAATAGATCAGAAAGAAATCAGTTATACTCGGTCCACTCTCCCACGCTGTCACCAAGAAAGCAGCAGAAATGCTAGTTCTCATCTCTGCCCTCAACCAGATTTATCTGTGAAACGAAGCAGGCCTAGCAAAAAATCATAGTTCACCTAACTCCAGGGTCCCAGATGTCTACCTTTTAAAGATGGAGGTCCTTGAAAAGGCAACACAACAAGCAGGCCCTCACCTCGTGTGCCCTTCCAGCTGGCTCAAAGGAGAGGTAGCAAAACGTAAGTCCCATATTTGGATCACTGGCAAGCGGTCATCCTCAGAGGAAAGGACTAGCTGGGTTGCAACTTCCGGATGCCAGGCCATTCCTGAGCAATGCATCTGGGTATAAAAATAGCATAGGCTGAAAATTCAGCAAAGCAAGCTGACAGTAGCAAAAATGGCCGACAGCCACATCATTCTGCACTTAACTCGCCTAGAATGCTTGGCATAAAGCAAACCTAGCAACGTCTTTCTGTGGGAAGCAAGTATTTCTACCTTCTACATAGCAAAAAAACACTAATCACACAGAAGTTGAAGGACTAGTTCAAAGCTGATCTAGGAAGACAACAGGGATTAAAACGCAGGAGGGTTCTCATAAATGAGCTGTAAACATAGACATTGAATGCAAGGGTGCCCTAATTTTAGGAACAGCTAGGGGTCTTGTTCCTTCATTTCATTAGGGAAAAAAAGAGAGAGGTGCTTTGATGCTACAGCTCCAAGAGAACGAGCCCCAACAGCTCCCACAATAAAAACACTTGATCCTAAAAGCCTGTGCCACTGCTTTGCAGTCATATGTGGCATGTTGTAAGTGAGTCAGAAACACAGTCTTTCCTCCACTCACTCTGTTGCTGTGGTCGCTGACTTTGATGATAGGCTCATTCTTCCTGAGGTCCCAAACCACAGCCTTGCCACTGGGGTGAGCGGAGGACAGGATATGCTGCACCTGCCGATTCCAGGACACCACACTGATGTCTTCATAGGGCTGCCAAGATAGAAGAGGCCACACATCCATTATTCCCATGTTGAGGGAACACTGATCACAGGATTCTATCACTAGCTTAACCAAGGGATTTGAGGATATACAGATTTCTCTCTTCAATCACTGATCAATCAACTAACTGGAAAGAGCAGCACTGACCAGAAAGACTGGCAGCATGCTAGGGAGCATGAAAAGTCCTTTATTCAGAATGTACAGTGGACAGTCAAATTCTATGGGGAAGTGTCACCTGGAAAAGCACCTTTGCATTCTGGGAGCAGGTACTGGATTCTGCATTGGCCAAATGTGTCATAAATCAATCAAGAGAGAACATAGATGCTTCTACCCTGACTCCTGGGATAAACTTAAATGGAAAGATGACCTTGTGCAACATTTCAGGGGTGCAGTGAGATGGAAAATGATGAAGCATTCAAGGCTAATTACTGTTACTGTATCTCCTGCAATGCAGGAGACAGGCAAGGAGGTAAATGGGAGGCTTATTGTAGGAAAAACTTGGTCTGACTTTAGGCAAGTTTACTATGATTTTTTCACTTTCAGGAGCTGATTGCCCTGAATAAAATAATCAGCATCAGAAGACCAGAAGCTTCTTCCTCTTCAAACTCAGAAAACATTATCTGGGAGTAATAGCCAAGATGCATTAAATGGCTCACTGGCTCTGCTAGGGATATTACTTTCATGAGATATGAAAAGCTTCAGCTGAAGCCTGAAGTAAATTCATTCCCGAGAGAAAGTCCAATAAGCCTTCTTAATCCACCACACATGCCCCAGCCGGATCATAAGATAAACTGGTCAGTTACTTGATTCAAATCCACAAAGAGCTTAGCCATCCATGCAAAGTGCATCCTTCCAGAGCTTGACAGCCTACCTCCCCTCCCCTTATAACACACTTTCCACCTCCCCAGAATGAAGCTGATCAGTTAGTTCTGACTCACCTTTCTTCTGAAAGACGTCATTTCCCCTTCACAGACTCCATGCTGGCTTCACACACTTACCTCTTTTTGCCTTGCCTAATGAGAGATGAAACTGCAGGGGTATTGCCCAGAAGAAAGCTCATTTACCTGTGATTTAGCCCCTGGAGTCATAGGCACACTGAAGTTATTCAAGTCCCAGATGAAAATTTCAGAATCATTGGCTCCAGAAGCCAAAAGGTTAGTCTGTAGAAAAAAAGAAAAGCTCAGCTGAGTTCCAAAGAGAAAGAGCACAGATTTCTTAAGAAATAAATGTAAGCAAAAACCCCAAAGCTTCCAAAGTCAGATGAGAGCTGCATTTCACAGCCAGTGGTAAGCAGAAAGATACTAACTGCATTATAAACCAAGGACACTTCTGGCCTCCCTGCCATCAGCTGTGCCATGGCACAGACCTGCTTAAAATTTGTCTAGCAAGCTACACGTGCAGGTGTCTGGTGTTACTCATCGTGAAACTCTGCCACGGGCCTGGAAACTACTGTCCCTGGCCAGCTGAGCCTTTGCCCTGCATCCCAGCACCAAGGACATTTCTTCTGAGAAGAGCAGCTTCCCACAAAGATCTGCAGACAACTTTCAGTTTGCCTTTGTGCTACCACAAGAACTTGTGTTCTGTTCACTACTCGCTTATGTTGCAGTCCCTTCAAGTGCAATCAGAGCCCCACTGAATTAGACACCAACTGAACAAATAAAAAAAGTTCTGATTTCAAATGGATAATGGTCTAACATGTAACAGTATTACTATGCACGCTTTTACAGAGAGGTAAGAGACTGGATTAATGTCACAGAGGAATTCAGTGGCAAAGCTGTGAACAGAAACCAAATCCAAAGTCCCAAACCAGCCTTGTGTCAAAACTACCATACTTCTTTCAAGTTAAAAACTGTTTCTTCAGTTTATGAATCACTATACACAAGGGAAAAACATTTTTTTTTTTTTTTAATATGGAGGTTAGTTTTCATCTGGTTGTAAGTATCTCAACATTGCATACCTGGAAAGGGTTGAAGTCAAGAGCTCGAACAGGACCTGAATGCTTCTCTGTTTGCCCAATTACAGGCTCGCTCTTCGAAGCCAAGATGCGGTGCACACTGTACATTGTCAGTACACCATTATCCCCTCCACCAATGACCACTCCAGAAGACTCCAGGGACCCATTTCCAAAGTTACCCCAGATCAGCTTATGAAACCTAAAAAAGAAAAAAATAAAGCCGGTGTAGGCCACAATATTTTGTGGAAGTCAAGACACCCTTCTGCATTACCAAAAACCACCTCCATATTTCGACCTATCAAACATAACCATCAGTCTGCACCTTAAATAACCATTTAACCATCCCTCTAGTCTCCTTATGGCAAATCATTAGCCCCAGCAAATTCACATGATACAGAATGACTCTCCTGACTGACTACCATATAAGTCCTTTCAGACTTCTACAATGGTCCAGCTGCTGTACTTTTACACCCAACGTAATTAGTGTCAACAAAAATCTTCAGTTCTTGAAGGCAGAGGTCAACTGATCCAACAGATCACTTTATACCCCAAAAATCTCCTCTTCTCCCTTCTCGTACCAGAAAAAGCCTTTGCAGTTCCACTGATTGATACATCAGTATGAGTCTCCAGTACCTGTTTGAGGCAGGAAGTGTTCCTTTCTGCTTCATGTCCAGGGAGGGATCTCTGAAGTCAACCTCAAATATTTCCAAGGTGGCATTTGTACTGAAGGATGCATCCAGCTGTTGGGCAGATGTTCCTAGCAGAAGTACAAGGGCAAAACAAGTGGGCACTTTTTTTCAAGAGCACAAGATACAAAAAGAGCAATGAACTGGAAACCTATTCTTGATAGTCAACTTGGTTGTGCCTGTTCAAGGAGAGGACATATTTGAACACCTCAAAAAGAAGAATCAACAATTACGACAAAGACTTTGAAAGAAATTAGAACTGTTTCAAGAAATTCTGGGCACCAGGGTCACTGTTGTGCAAATACCTTTCTCTCTTGGGATAAATATAAGTCATATATGTGGCTTCGTATCACAGACTCACAGAATGTTAGGGGTTGGAAGTGACCTCAAAAGATCAACTAGTTCAACCCCCCTGCCAGGGTAGGACCACCTAAGCTTCTGATATTAAGTCCTTACCTAAATTGCAAATGCAGTCGCATGATGAAACCCAGCTACAAGTACGATCCCAAATACTGCTCCTCAACTATGACCGTATGTCTTGATCAAACCTTCTGAATCTGGTCTACAGCAAAAGTTCTTCAACCTTAGCCAAATAAATATTACCCAATGATCCATGGACAGCTAGCAGTCACACAGTGGTGGCTTCCTTCCTTCTCCCTAGCTTATGGAATAAAAGCTAAAAATAGATTTAACATTGCCTAATGGGACACTGCCTAGCAAATAGTCACACAGTTACCACAGAGGTGCTTTGTAACTGCCTATGGCATGGAAAGTGCCCAAGAGACTATTAAAAAGCAGTGCAAATTATGAAACTAGGTAGTTTCTGATCTAAAGCAGACTGAAGTCAAGACCTTTGATCCAACCAAAAATCTGTCCTTATTAGAGGAACAAAAACCAGACCGTTTACCCCAAAAATGGTAAAGTTGCTTTTAAGGCAACAGGCGAACTTTTGTCACTTTCTTTTGACAGTCATCCTTGAAAAAAAAAAAAAAAAAAAGTAAAACAACATGGCAGCGCTGCACAAACCAGGCAGGAGACAAAGCTGAATAGTTGTCATGTTGGGCAGACAACCCAAGCTGTTGGTTCCACAGACACTAAACTCGCCCACTGCCAACTCATGAACAGGCTGACTTTGTGCTTCAGGAAATAAATTTATTATAACAATGAATAATATCAACAAAATGCAAATTTAAGGTATTGCAGAAATACTGAAAATTGAATGATAACCAAAACATGCAACTTCAGAGAGAAGAGATTTTTCTTATTTGATTGCCAAACCACATGATAATGTCTGGAGACCTACGAAGTAAAAGTGAGCTTAAATGAGCATGATTAGAATGAACTTTTTTTTTCCATAGACATACCAAGTAACCTATCTTATTTTGTTCTAATTTTTACAGTAAGCAGGTGTTGGAGTCCATAAAGATTTAATTACAAGTTAGATCAAAAAAGCCATGTATTCACTCTTTGAAAAAGTCACTGGCCTTTACGGTGTCAAAGCTGGGCATACGAATAATCCTCTCCAGTTACTTTAAAAAAAAATTAAGGTTGTAACGTTTTCAGTATATTGCCTGGAAGTTTTCCAGAGATTATTAAAGTGGGAATTGTTGAAAGTTAAAGCAAATACAACTCTACATAAAATCTCTCTGTGACTCATAGTTTAATTTTCACAAATTGTGAAGAAATTTACCTGTTGCTAGATAAATGGGGTGGTTGTTTGCTGGACTCCATGCCTGGACAGCTGTTCGCTCAATTTCCTTTAGCTTCATTTTCCAGGCTCTAGAAGAAATTTCACAGAGTGGTTAGAATAGCTGGATACAGTCAACATGAAAATAATCATACCAGTAACAAAATATCCATCTTACAAAGGTACCTACTGAACAAATTGTTCTCAATAGAGAGAGGTTACTTGTTACTTCTTGAGCTAGTGAATACAGTTTCACAGGAATGAATTAGGGTATTTTAGAGTTCATCAAAAAAACCCCAAACAATCTCAGCTGTCTGATCTCAGACTTTCTTTCATATACAGCTCTCTTTTTTCGTATACTCCAATCACAGGAGAGTTTCAGTAAAAGGAAGGGGGTCTAAATTAACATACTCAAGTCTTCAGTCCAGGCTGGTTTAAATCAGCTGCAGAAATTAATTTAAACAAATGTATTTGCAAAGCACTAGTTGCTCTCTCTGAACAAGCTAATGCCAGTACATACATAGGCAAAAAGGGAGCAGAAGGAATCTCAGGGCAGGCTAAATTCCAAGCAGAAAAGTGACGTGGCAACAGAAAACAAAGTGCAATGCTATCATGTGCCAATTCAGTTAATGTACTTTGTTCTCGTTCCTCTGAGAAGCAAAAGGAAAAAAATAATTCGATTTTCTGCTTGAGTCTGTAAGTGGTAGAAGGTGAGAAGAAGTGATCCAGAAGTAACTGCCGGGTTTCAATCTCAGCTCTGACAAGAATTATTTTTATTTACTCTGGATAGATCAACTGACACCTGTAAAATGGGAGCACAATATCCACATGTCATTGGAGAGAGATTAGTTGGGCAACAATGTAGTGAGATAATTGAAAGTCAAACACAGCAGGCAGCCCGGAGGTTGCAAAAATGAGTATAAATATGAATTATTGTTCCACATAAGATCCTGTTCTTGCTGAGAAGAAAGCACCCAGCACCTTCCTATCCCAGACTACGCCCAGGCCTTCTAGGCATGTCAGTAACATAAATGATGTGTGGACATACCATTCACAGGCTAGCAGGGTCACTCTCATGAACAGTTCCTAAACCTTTTGAGCTTGGCTGCAGTGCAGTCTTTTAACTCTAGCTAAACAGAGCTGCTAACTACGCACTCAGATGATATCATGCTGAATAAAGTAAAACTGTCAGCAGGCAGCACAGCAAAACATGCTGCATCTTGCCAGCTCGCTGTGATTAACCTCTCCTTGTTACTTGACACTGTATTAGCTGGGCTGACAGTTAAATTACAGTCTGCATCACATGGCCTTCTCTTCAGACGCAAGGCTGCAAGTGCCAGTGCTTCACAGTTTGGCCTTACTCAGGCCAGAGTATGGGTGTTTATTTGTAACCAAGTTCATAAAGGCAGCTTGCTGTGGTCTGGCTAAATGGTCCAAAAAAACCCCAACCAACCAGCTTTGAAAAAGCCTTACGTCATTTTGTGGCTTATATGAAGCTATGGCCTCCTGAGGCCCACACACAGGGAAATCTGTTCAGCATTGCTTCTTCGGCTTGAACCTCCTGGCTAATAACTCCATACTCTTTTTTGGGTTTCTTCTCCATCACCAGTCAGAAGCTCTCCCCCATGCACTATCAGGGTATGCTGTTTGATTAGAATTTATTTAATGCTTTTTAGCATTAGTCTGCAGTAGTATCTCCCAAAGCTCAAAGTGCCTATCGCTATTCTCACATTAAACTTATCCCAACTTAGCTGAGGCCCAGAGCAATCTGAACAGAACTCTTGTACAATAAGACAAATGCAACTACTTCCTCAGGCAGACATGGAAATGTCACCTCCTCCTCATCACCATAACAGACCTCTAAAGCTTACTTTCCTGTCTTCCAGCACACACTTTGCAGAGTACTCATTAGGGCTACATCACATTCTCTCTGCCACAAAGTTCCAGTTCCCACTCATCTGTCTCCCATACTAGCTCAGGAACTGTCCTCTCTTCAACCAGGAGGAGTCAGGTAAATATTCTAGCAACAGCCTACTACTGCACAAAGCACCACTTGACCCCACTGATGTGGGGGAGCAGGACAGCCTGTATGTTCCTTGCCAGGCCCTTTCTTGCCTCTTCCTTCTCCAGTTACAATCCATCAATTGTAAGAGCTGGCTGTACATACAGGCCTCGCTGCTTCTTGGCTTTTGAGAACATTATTAGACAAAGGCCAAGAAACCTTTTCCCTCTAGTAAATCAGCTGGTGAGGAAGCAATGAAGAGCACAATCATCACAAACTTACCCAGGTGAATGGTACAAGCTCCCACTCCTTATGCTCTGTGCTGGCTGACTGCATGGCTGGCACAATTTGCATTTAACAGGCAAACAAAGACAAGCCACAAAAAAATGCACAGAACAGCACTGATCAATTGTCCAGTTTTTCTTGTCAATAGAGTACTTTGCACAAGAAAGTCAACATTACTGTTTTCTTTTCACAGACTTAAGTGTGTAAAGGTAAACATGAAGGTAAAGTGTCTTGCCCATGATAACTCACCCAGACATAGGAAAGCAAACAAGGCACCTTTTAGAGTGGCTCAAGATCAACAGAACAACTGCAGAAGTGCTGGATCATAGGTATTGAACAGGTACACTGCATCCCTGGCCCTCAAGGCAAAGCAGCAGTAGTACCAACAGACTTGAGAAGGCCCACAGGAGATGTGTAAGAAGCCAAGACCACAGTATCACACCATCTCTTAAGCACCTCCTATCAGTTTAGCTCCACTGCAACTGAGGTTCTACAAGGATACAGCAGCACCTCCTCCTTAAATCAGTGGGCTTTGAGTTTGGAAGGAAAAAAAAAAAAAAAAGCCTGATTTGAGTCTTACTCTTAGAGAAACGATCCTTCTATACACTGTGCATGTCTGTATTCAGGACAGGACTGACGAGCCTTAAAGCAGGAAAAACTTCTTTAGCAACCTCTTGTGGCTGCCTGAGAAAAATCCACAAGCACCCGACTCTGCCCCATGAGACTTTTTAGGGAGAGATTGCCACCTGCTGTCATCTCCCAAAATAGCACCTAAGACTTCTGAGAAAGCTCATGCTTTTCTCAGGACCTCTAATTAATTAACCATGACAATTCCTCCTCCTTCTACAGACATCCGATTACAGATCTAACGTATTAACGAACCTCAGCCCCAACGGGAGTCACAGGACACAGAAGAAGCATTTCCCCGCAGCCTGCCCCAGCCATGGCTTCCTGTACCGTGTCCTTAAAAGGTAACACTGCAAAGCAAAACCCAGCAGGTCAGAGCACTCCCCACCACTGGGAAATGGACAGCACACAGCTTAAGAGTGAAAAGCAAAAACACATGATCTCAAACCATGACGGACCATGCAAGCAATGCTGACAGAGGCAAAAATTCCCCACCTACACTAACTTGAAATACTTGTGCCTTACAACGCATCCTAAAAGGCTGCGGTTGTTGTTGTATCAGCTAATTGACCTTCAAAGATGCCACGATAATCATCTCTGGTATCACTCTAGTAAGGCCTTGTCTCTCTTGCACCACCCAAATACTGTCAATCAGAAATCCCCTCTTACTGACTTTCCCAGTCCTCCTCCTGCCACTGGACACCCAACCATCTCTCTTTGAGAAAAAAATCCTGCTGACATTTGACTTCCAGCACAGCACACAAAGGAGCTGATAGCCTGATTCCCCTTAGCTAAAGGTGAAACGGGCAAAACAGAAAAGACTTGTCCAAGGTGACAGGAGGCGACAAGCAGCCACCCTAAGAACTGAAAAAGGCTTCTCAGCCATGACACAATGGTTAAGACACAAACCATCCTAGGGTCATCCCAGCATCCATTTAAAATCTTCGAACTACCCCTTCCCTTCGCATTGCCCTGACACTCTCACAGCTCCCCAATATCCTATAGCCAGGCTGTTGTCATACATGCTTGTTATAAACCCCGATTACAGAGGGCAGAAGGCACAGAGACACTAATCTCAGCTAATCGCTGGTGTTTGCAAGGCGGGGTTGCAGGGTAGGGCTCAGGGCATTCCTCCATGACAGCTCCCACGGTATATAAAGAAACTTCTTGTGCTCCGAGTACTTTCAGAAGCTATTGCTAAGTGTCACAGCACTGCACAGATGGGAGGAGTGCGTATGCACGTACCTAGTCAGCTTGCAGCACACAACAGCATTACACTGTAGGATAGTGAAAAAGAGGGACGGTCCAGGAAGAAGGCGTTGACCTCGGACACCGGCTGTTGCAAAAGAGGCTCTCGGCTACGCCAGAGGCCTCTCCGCGGCCCAGGTCAAACAGCCTCGCTCCCCCCAGG